TTTTTTTTTTTTTTTTTTTTTTTTTTGTAATAATTTCGTTGGAATCTATTTTGGCTTATAGGGATATATGCATATGGAATCGTGACAATTCAACAAAAAATAATGGAATAATTTTGTTAAGTTTTCGTTGGAATTAAATGAAAATATTCAACTAGAGTAATTGCACTGAAATATTCATTGAAATTGAGGTGAAAAATCTCAAGATTAAACTTTTAATATAATCAATATAATGGTGTGCCAATATTGGGGAAATTCTATTAGAAGGCCTAACTTTTAATATATGTATTAATTTAAAACCTGAATTATATATTTTTTCAAAAGAAGACTTACATTTTAGATTATTCTCACTTTCTTACTTTTTAGTTAACTTTTCATTATAAGGTCCAACTAACTTTACTTTTTCATATAAATATGTAAAACAACTATTATGTGAATAAAAATATTATTATTATTATTATTATTATTATTATTATTTTGTAATTTATATTTTAGATACTTATAATAAAAAATAATAAATATCTTTAGTAAAATTATATTCATAAAAAATAAAACTATATAAATTACAGTGATGCGAAACTATATAAATTATATTTATGCAAAAAGTTTAACAATGAAAAATTACATCATTGAAAATAGATGTTTATATAGTTTTATTTATTAATATAATTTTACTATCTTAGTTTCCCACCATTTTAATTCCAAGTAATTTATATAGTTTTATTTTTTATTAATATAATTTTACTAAAGATATTTATTATTTTTTATTATGAGTATGTAAAATAATAATAATAATAATAATAATAATAATAATAATAATAATAATAATAAAAATAAAAATTTTATTCACAATAATTGTTTTACATATTTATATGAAAAAGTAAAGTTAGTTGGGCCTTATAATGAAAAGTTAACTACAAAGTAAGTCTTAAAGTGAGAATAATCTAAAATGTAAGCATTCAGTTGAAAAAGTATAAAATTCAGGCCTTATATTAATACATATACTAAAAGTTAGGCCTTCCAATAGAATTTTGTTGTCTTCGAACACATGCCCACCCTCGAAGGAGTGGTCGATACATGCGACCACCCAGCCCGGAGGCCTTAGTCATGGTGGATTTTTTGTCTTCGAACACATGCCCACCCTCGAAGGAGTGGTCGATACATGTGACCACCCAACCCGGAGGCCTTAGTCATGGTGGATTTTTGTCTTCGAACACATGTCCACCCTCGAAGGAGTGGTCGATACATGCGACCACCCAGCCCGGAGGCCTTAGTCATGGTGGATTTTGTTGTCTTCGAACACATGCCCACCCTCGAAGGAGTGGTCGATACATGCGACCACCCAGCCCGGAGGCCTTAGTCATGGTGGATTTTTTCCTTTCGAACTGATCGAACACTTCGACCTGCCACTGAAGTAGACAAGAAAGCACACCAAACACCACAAGATAGAATAGTAATCGATCATTCTCATTAGCCTCATCAAATGCATAGCTACATCGAGCATGTTCGTTCCATTTTTGTCGTGTTTTCCTCGTTTATTTTGCATTTATTTTTTCCCATTCTAGGTTATTTTCTTTGGTTCTTGGTCCATTTTGTGTCGTGTCGTGTGCCTTCTTTATTTTGCTCGTTTTTGGTTCTTTTTGTTTCTTTTTCTCGGTTTTCTGCGTTTTTCTTGGTGGTGGCAATATGCAGGTTAGGTGGTTCGGTAAGCAGCCGTGAGGTGATCGTTGTCCAAGAGTTGGAATCGAGTGGAGAAAGAAAAGTCAGAACTAAATCCCGAGTCCGGAGGAACGCGTGTCGAGCCGACGAAATTCTGTGCACAATTTCTTCGCCGCGGCCGCGTAAGAGGAAGTCGCGGCCGCGGAGAGTGCGAATCCCCAACTCAGCGTACAGAGAAGAAAACTCGCGGCCGCGAGATGCGCGAATTCAGATTTTAAAACATCAGATTTTATGTTGAAGGATTCATTCGTTTTTGGATCTAGTTTTTGAACTCTCTAGGGATTTTCACCCATAAACTCAAATTTTCTCTTGTTTTTGATTTGGTGATTCGATCTTGGAGAGAAAAACTCCGAGATTCGACTTTTGGATTCGGTTTGCTCTTGTTTTCGACATTGGATTATTCAATCGTAAGCTTTCATTTGGTTTTATTATTGATTGAATGGCTTTGATTATTATTTTTGTTGATGTTAAATGCATGATGAGTAGCTAAATCCATTAGCTAGGGTTAGGGGAAGATCATTCCGGTTCGATTTTGTTCTTATGCATGATAATTGCTCAATCCTCTCGAGTTGTGCTTAGCCTAGGGTTTTGATGTTTGATCACCATCTTAATCTAATTAATCGATTTTATAACTGAAAAGGGAGAAATCGTTCGATCTAGGCTCGTTAGGAGTAAGCTTGTTCGTAATAGTATTGCTTATGTGTTGATTGTCTCAAGAATTACTCGTTTATGTCTATTCCTCTTGTTACGAAAAGTTATTGAGGATAGATCTCTAGATGAATAGTTTTGTGAGGCCTTTAACCGAGCTTTTGTTTGCTCGTTGAGTGCATTGAGAACCAGAATTGATTGACCCCGATACCCTAGCTCCTTTATAATTA